TTTGGGGGTCCTTGGCCTGGAAAACGTTGAAGACCGCTGTTTTAAAGGAAGAGACACTGAATTGATTAAGTAAAAACTGCCGTCAATTGAAGGCTGCATGATATAACTGCCCTACCTTTTATACAATATGGTTCAGATGCCCTTTAATGACAGTGAGGCCTCGGACACCGCACCCCCCCTCCCCTTGAACAGGCTGTACAGAAACTGAAATCTCACCCTACTGGAATACTTTCAGTTCATATGAAACATCAATTATAGAACACTACAGTGATCTATGAGGGCACTAACAGGTCCTGGCACAAATAAAGTTAGCCTGTATTTAAAGGTTTCCTCTCTCCAGTGTCCAACAGATCAATAAATGTAACGAAGACTGAGGAATTCACTTTAATTGCTGTAAACATTTAACAACCACTGAACCAGCTGTTCATAATGGAGTATTTAAGTTTTCCAGAGACTTTGGAAACTAATGCAATGTCTGGGATTCTCAATGTTTCCTGACCCATAATGCTCAGCGGTTATCAGCTGTCAGCTGATCATACACTTTCTGCCCATCGCTGTTCATTAAACAGGAAGAGGTCAGTGCCATTGATCCAAAGGGTTTCAGGGTTCTACAGAAACACAAATAAATGTATCCATAAAGCCCAGATATCAGTTAGGAAGCAGCTCCATGCTGCCTGGATGTCCTCGTTAATATTATCAGTCAACATCAGACTTTGAAGGTGTCATTAATAACACTTAGTTTTATAATCATGGCTACCAAAGACATTTTTCTGACACTTCACCTCACACACCAACACGTCTTTGTTGTTACTGAAAACGCCATTATGACAGTAACTTAATCTTTTTCTCCTGTTTGGTTACCTCAGTGTGTCTTCTCCATGTGTCAGAGTGAACTCAGCCGTTTGTTGATGTCCCGCTCTGTAGGTTTACGGTTCATGACCTGCTGGAGCACCGCTTCTTCCAGGAAAAGACAGGAGTCTACGTGGAGCTGGGCGAGGAAGATGATGGTACAAAGGCGGCGCTGAAACTCTGGCTCAGGGTGGACGACAAAAAGAAACTTCGAGGCAAATACAAAGACAACAACGCCATCGAGTTCCTGTTTGAGCTGTACAAGGACGTCCCTGAGGAGGTGGCTCAGGAGATGGTAGCCTCGACCCCACGCTGCTCACATGACAAAGGATTTATCACCTGGCAGCTGGTCTCACCTGTCATTCTTTGTCTGCAGGTGATTCTAGGATTCGTGTGCAAGGCAGATTACAAGGTGATTGCCAAGGCGATCAGAAACCGAGTGACTGCCATAAAACGAGAGCGGGACAAAAAGCGCCGCCTCCTGGAGGAAGCCATGAACAACCTCAAGGCAGCTGTTGATAAGAAGGCAACTGAAGCAGCCGCCGAACAATCGGAGGTTTCCCATCAAAAACCTGCATCTGCTGCTGGAAGGATCAGTAATCAGGTTAAAGCTGTTGCTATGGAAACAGATTCTCCATACGATTGTTTCATGATTTTATTCATGAATAAGTAATAATTCCTTCATCTTTTTATATGATTATTAAAAATTTTAACATTTGTTTTGCTTCCCCAATAAACTCAGAATGAAGTTTCTGCTGATGTTCAAGTCCCGCTCAGGGCACCAATGCCCGCGGGGACGTCGGTGGCGAGTAGCAGCCCTGCAGATTCTGGAATCAGCATCATTTCCAGCAAAGCAGGAGAAGGAGATGAGGAGGAAGACAAGACAACCAAACAAGCATCTTTCTCCTCAGCTGCCTGTCAGTATATTACATGGTCTAATGCTGCTTTCACACCAAACGCATTCTGGGATGTCTGGTTTACATGCAAAGTCTATATGGGACAGCATCTATGGGACCGGCAGTACATTCGGGCTTCAGTAGTCGTGCATTTAGAGCGTTCTTGTGTCCCAGCGTTCAGGCGTCTGAGCATTCGATGCTAGAGTTCAGTAAATTGAACTTTTGCCGCTGGACGCCTGAGCGTCAACCAATAAGAAAAGTTGATGTAGGAGTTTTTTGGAGGGACAGCAATTACCTATAGGATGTTATCGCTTCTGCAGACATTCTGCATATGCAAAATAAATAAATATCACAGAGTTAAAGTCCAAAGGTTAAAATAAAGCTGGAAGAATGCTGCACTAAAACATTTTTTTATGAACTATGTAGAAACAGTTTATAAATACCCAAATTAACTCGAAATGTTAAAACCTGCCGATGAAAAATATTCAATTGTATATTCTGGTACTTGCAATTTTTGATCACAAACTTTGAAAACTCTTTCTATTCACTTTAAACCAGTGTTGCCAACTCCTCAGTAAGGAAAGTAGCTATTGGCTGTGCTAAAAGTCATCGCCTAATTTGCATAATCTGCCACAGGAAGTGATGTGCATGTTATTGATGCTGTGGGAGAAATAATGTCGTTACAGAAAGACAGAAAGTGAGTAAAAACACTATATATAGTGTTTTTACTATATATATAGTGTTTTTTACTATATATAAAAACACTATATATAGTGTTTTTACTCACTTTACTAAACAATATATAGAGCTACTTTATTCAGGGTTTGATTCCCACTCTTTTCTGTATTTTTGACTGTACAGTTTAGACTGAGAAATAATGATTCTCACCAGCAGATCAATGTTAATCTTAGAGAGGGAAACCCAATGGACAAGGTGATTAAGTGACTGACTGTGGCTGTGTGAATCAAATGCTGTTATTTATTTAAGATAAAATATTTCAAATTCATTTATTTATTTAAGACCAAATAACATTTTACATTTACATCCCGCTTGCTCCCGCCTTGAATGTAAGTCACGGCGGAGCGGCACCACGTGATCAATTTGCACAGTCAATCCCGGCGCATGCGCGCTTCATTTGCAGTCTGGACGCTGAGGGTAAACATCCTGCGGCTCTGACTGCAGCGCTG